TGACTGACAGAGTGTAGCACGGCTGCACTTCGCCTGCCCTAGCTACTCGAGTCGAGTGCCCCTCGAATGCGAATGCGGCCAAGTTGAAATCCACAACACTTCCAACTCCGTTATTGTTGCTGTACATATTGGTCACAGCTCTTCCCGACCGCCCCCACCTTGCACAACGAACACTCCACATACCACTCCACATGGATCGCTTTGCGTAGAAACGCAAGCTTATTACCGTCGAGCAGCTTCACCGACTGCCAGACCAATCCGCGAATCATTGTATCATACACACGTGTCCCTCATGATACATTGTAGCCGAGAGTTGAGATATCGCGAGCGGAATTCGGCGATCCGCGTACATTGAACTGTCACCAGCAATTTGGCCACCTATGAGCCAAGAAGATATGATGTATGTACGCAGCAGGTCACTGGTCGCGCAGAACGACATGATCCCTGGACAAAGGGATGCTGCATAGCCGGTGTCGAGCGAGCCCGCGGCTTCCAGGTCGCCATTGGCTGTACGAAACTGTGGCAGAACTACGAAGACTTGCGTTGGTCTAGCCGGGTGGCCGGTGCAATGCAGCTGATGCCAAAGCTGATGCGTTTGTATTGATGGAAGAAGCAGATCAACAAGCATCATCTCTTGCCCAGATGAGACAAGAAGCATACCACCGCACTGACAGAAACCTGTCCAAACAGTCGAAGCCTTCACAGCCCGCCAAAAACGAGTTGAACGCTCCTGAAGGATTCTAACGCTGCGTTCCCCACGATAGCGCATGAGTTTATGACTGTTGATTGGCTCAACTACGTGCGGTTCCCACAGCTCTACCATGGTACAATTTCTCAGCGGCGTGAACCGGCCGCACACTCTTAATTCGCCGTACGGCTGCCGACCGTATGCTTGCTTTTACGTCAAGGCGATTCCCCGCTAAGACTGGTTGCACGTGCGACGGGGCAGATGCTTCCTTCCTTGTCAGTGTCGGAGATCAGGGTCCAAACATGCCTGATCATTGAGGTAAGAGCCTTCAGCAAGCCTCGTTCCTACTCTACCTTTGCAAGTCTTACCATGAGCTTGTCACTCTTGGGCGGCGCGGTATACGAATCCATCTGCTCGATGCCTGTGTCGTCGACGATCGTGGTGCTGTAGTTGGAATACAACGCTGCGACGATGTACTTCATTTCTGGATTCAGTCAGCGTCTAGCATCCATGTCTTGGGAACGGAGCGCCCAAAAGCAACCATGGAGGATCAGCACTTACGATATATCGCCAAGTGACTTCCAACGCACATGCGTCCGCCACTGTCCATGATAGTGAGTGTCAGCGGTCAACGTGCTTCGAGAAGTAGTACTGACCTTCCAAAGGCCCAAAACCACCGGCTCTCCATATCCCTCCGCTTCTCCTCGTCTAGCCTGTCCATGTCCAGCCATCGCTCTGGCCTCCACTCGTTTGCGCGCTCGAACACTTCCTCGTTGAGGTGCAATAGGCCCGCGCTTGCGCTCACCCTTACTCCACTAGGAATGTGGTACGAAGCCTCTTCAGGCCCAAGTTGACAGCCTTGCGGCGGCGTGAAGCGTGGCTGGGGGCCCGGAATGGCCGAATGAAGACGCAGGGTCTCCCATATGACGGCATGGAGGAATGGTAGGCTGTCTACAGCCTTAGCATCAGGCAGTGTCGGCGCTGATGCCGGGATAAGCTGCGGCGAGAGACCAAGCAGCTCAGCGCGAAGACGGGCCTGGATTCCCGGATGTCGCGAGACCTCGTGGACGACGTAGGCCAGTGTTATCCCGGACGTATCGAACCCGGCCGCAAGATGGTCCAGCACCTCGCTCGCAATTTGAGTCTGTAGTGCGCTCTCCCCACCCTCCTTCGCGGCTTTTGTCATGGTGTTTTGGAGCTGCTGCCACACCACAGGTCGATCCTCGATCTGTGCATCGCCTGCGCTCGAGACAGCACTAGCATCGTCGCACATCCTCACCGTCCACCTCTCGATCTCACCGTTCGCCTCATCGACCCACTTCGGTGTCAATCGGTAGCCAAGCCACTTCTCCACAAAGCTAGTAAATCGTGGGAACTCCTGCGGCCAGAAGTTGTAGGATCGACGCGAGTTGTACAAATCAAGAAACCACGCAAGCTGCTTTCGGTCATCGATTAGGTTCGAGCCTGCCTTGAGCCCGAAGATGAAGCACGTCACAATGTCCATCGTGGTCGCGCTGAGTAGTGCGTAGACGTTCAGGACACCCTTCTCAGACTCGGCGAACGTTGTCTCCAGATACGGCAGAAAGCGCTTGTACATAATGGCAGACGTCTGGCCGAGCAGTGCCTCGCTTGCCGTGACATGAGACTTGCTATAGATGTTGCTCAGCATTCGCTTCCTCTGGGAATGCGGCTTATTGCGTCCAGTGGAGAACATGTTGTCGACTCTACGATGAGTCAATAAACGCACGGCCGGTCATCTGACAGTGCTTACCCTCCATAATTCGAAAAGAAAGCATACCAATTGTACCCATCCTTGGCACTGCTTTTCTCAAATCCCCCGGCATAGACGTCTCGGATCCCTCCTTTGACGCAGTTCACGCTGATCTCGCTGGGTCCCAAACACACAATTGGGCCCAAGCGGTCATGCGCTGCCTTCAGTGTCGCATTCTCGATACCCCGCCATCGGATTGAATGCATCCAGAGTGAAGTGATATGCGCCAGCGGATGGGCAGCGGGGACCTTTCGCAGTGGATTGCGCACATAGCTAGCCAGCACTTGGACGATGAGCAGAAGTGGGAAAAGGATACCCAGGGCGGAAATGGACAGGCCGAGCATCGTGTTGTATCGTGCCACAACCCCCAAAAGCAATTGTAGAGGCGCCTTCGAGAATGCAGGAACGCAAAAGAAAAGGCAGATGTCAACGACGCCTTGCGAACGACGGCGCTAGACTCGGGCTCTGTCCCGCTTCGATCGGGATATCCCACTCTGACATCCCCGCAGCACATCACTCTTATCGCGACCCGGTCCAACCGTATCAGGACTAGTGCTCTCAGCCCTATCCGTCGCTATCCAGCCACGAGCATTCTCAGCCTCCATCAAGTCTCAACACGCGAATCGAGATTGATGATGGATGTCTAGCAAAGGGGTTGACAACGAATGTGTCACAGTACACGATCATCGCGTGCTCACAGCCTTGGCATGCGGTATCGGCACCCCAACGGCGCTTCACGTCGCACAAGTCACTAGAGGAATGCAATGCAACGCGCTGCACTGCGATGCAAGGAGGAGCGAAAGCGGCGAGTTACATTGAAGATGGAGTTCATCCTTTGGGAACGCCGGTGTTCGGCAACTTTTACCAACGACGAGCGGAAAAACGGGTTCTGCTTACACAGACCGTATGAGATCGTCCTTGCGTGCAGAGAAGATCGGACTGGGCGTTAATCGTTCAGATGGGAAGATGTATGCTGGGTGATATCATAGGGGTTGGGGCGATGTATGGAGCCGGGAGAAGATCCCAGGTCATGCTCACTTGAAAATGCCATGGAGACTGGTGGGTGACGGGCTGTGCACTGTAGCACGACATGTTCGGTAAACAATTTGTGTCAGCTGCAGTGCGAGGATGAATACGGGATACAGTTTGAAAGTCCGGGACTGAATGTCGAGAAGGGCGATTAGACGTCCCACGCGATGAGGAAAGGAGAAAGCTCAGTTTGAATGGATGAGCGATGTACTCTCATGTTCGGAATACGCAACCTTGTTGTGCGTGAGATTTCATTATATCGTTGTTCTATCCTGCGATTGCCCGACCAGTCCCCAACTCTGAAGGTTGAACTTCGCACCATACGCTTCTGTCGTCCCATCTCTGCCATTCTTCGTCGCATGCGCATCCACTAGTGTACCAGTGAGGCCCCAAGTAGTGATGTCGCTGGACATATACCTTAGGATTTACTGGCGCGCTACATCAGCAGGTTCAGTCTCAGATACGGGGTTCTACTGACTCACCTATTGAGACACCAATGTGTTCTTCAAGATGAATTCATATGCCAGTATAACAACAGTGTCCAGAAAGAGACAATTGGACCTGGAGTAGAAGTGAATATGTGATGTTGATATGCTACATTCGTTCATCAAAGTAGACTATATCTACGCGCGCGTGGTATCTACATCAACAATATCCGAACAATCACAGGCTTATTATTCAGTAGTCTTGACATTTACAGCATGTTACTCCACTTCAAAGAACGATGATTCGATCAATATCAGGCAACTACATCTACTTGCATATCCACCGTGTTGTTTTCTGTGTGTCCATGATGACATCGCTTCCATAACCTGCAGGAGTGTCTAGCCGAGCATGTGCGCGGAATGTGGACACAGCAGCACTCTTGGGATTCGTATTGCTACCTAGCTCGAGCGCCCTGGGGGTGTCAGCTGGATCGAGTGCGTTGAGATGAGAGAACAGTGGAAAGTTGAGCAGGAATGAGGATTATGGCTGAAGTGTAGGAGAAAGAGAACTGAGACAGCGTCATTGATACTCGTCATTCGCCGGAGATATCACCAGCAACAACAACAACGAAAGAGTGACAAAGCCTCAGAAACTTCAGACCGACAGGCATCACCGAGAGTATTCCATAGATAAACATACATCCCCTGGATTGAAACTCGACATGTGTTTTTTTCTTTCGAGAAGAGGGCCCGAGAAACGAATCCTCACACTCTCTTCTCGGAAAAAACCACACACCAGGCTCAACTCAGGAGATATGTGCAGATACATTGACTAACGCCCCCGCTTCGCAATCCCATCCCATCCCATCCCATCCCAAGGTATCTCCGTAAAGCATATACACCAATAGCCCCAACCAGCTTACAACCATAACACTACAAAGAATCGAAGCCCTAGTTCACCGCGCTAAAACATAAATAGAAAGGGGAACGAGAAAAAAGGTAGTTAGGTGTCAGATCAACACCCACCACCAAACACTAAATATTACAAGACGTGAGCGGGAGAAGTGAAAAGGGTGTTCAGCAACACTCATGCATCCTGCATGATGATATCATCGTCCTCCTCGCCCTCGGCATCAACATCCATGTCCCCCTCTTCCTCATCATAGTCGCCATCGGCGTCGATGTCCTCATCATGCTCCTGTTCTTGTTCTTGTTCCTCTTCAATGGGCAGCGCTTTGCCCTTGCCCTTGAAGTCAATGCTACCCCTCGAGCTAGCAGAGCTTCTTGTACTCCTCCTCCCATTGACAACAACAGCTTTAACCGCGCCTCCGTCTGAGACGTCGTCGCCATTGGTGACGCTTTCGCCGAGGCGACTGCGTGTACGCCGGAGGGAGATAGTACCCGGTGTGAGGGCGCCGTTGGCGGAGGGCGACATAAGGGCTTTTGCGCCGCGGCTGGGCGAGAGTTGCATTTTCGATACGGGGGCGGTGTTGATGGAGAGGGATGTGTTGCGGACGCGATTGGGGGTGCTGGTACGTCGGCGGGTGCCGAAGGGGCGGCCTGGGCGGCGGCGCTGTGCAGGTTGGCCGGGGATGGGAGGAAAGATTTCGTAACGGGAGGGCGGGATTGCGGGTTCGTCCATGTGGGAGCCGGCGAGTGCGACGGTGGAGCCGTTTGCGAGGGGTGTGCCGGGGACTGGTGAGCCGCCGTTGACAGAGTCTTCGACGGGGTGGGGGCCGTCTGCTTCGTCGCCTGTACCGTTGGCTTTCGCGGCTGCCATCTGTACACCTTCCTCGTGTGCGGGCTTGTCTTCTTCTTCGATTTCGTCGCGCTGTTGCACTGTCTGCAGGGCGGGTCCATCTTCGTACTGGCCTAGACGTCCCATGACGTATGGTGTCCATATCAGACATTCCGGGTTAATTTTCGGGTTGCCTGCAGCGTTGCATTTCTCAATGTATGACTTGAAGTAGTTCAAATCAAGGCGAAGCGCGTACTTCTTCGTGACAGGGTCGCGCACGAGAGCTCGTAGGCCTTCCAACGCTGATACAATGTCATCAGGTGTCATGCCGGTGCGATCTGATATAGCCGATATGCTGATCGCAGCCTTTTGTTGCAGTAGTTCCTCACACAGGACAAGCCGCCAGTATTTCCGATAACTCACCAAACCCATGTCACTCAGAGGTTTCTCAGGACTTCCAGTCTTTCTCTCCACGCGCGTCAGGAGGTAGGAGAACTCGATCAGGTATTGTCCGTAGCCTTTGCGCATGTGAATGGGAAGTACGAGAATACAAGAAACGTTGTTGAGCGAGCTGGGACGCTTCTCTTTCGAAAAGTAGCCGACGAAATGACACCCGAAGTTGTCATTTTCTGTCATGACGTAGAACAAGAAGGGCTCGACATCGTAGTATAGCGTCTTGGAACCGAGGAACAACTTGGCGAGCAAACAGAGATTCTGGCAGTACACTGGATTCTTTCGGCCATCGACCTCGAAGAAAGAGTACTTGCCGTCACGGTAAATCTCGTCGCCAGGAGGGTGCTTCGCTGGGCATTTGAGCTGCGTTTGTTAGTACATGGTCATGGAAAAAAGTCGAGCTGCTTACCTTATGCCGCCATGCCACGTAATCCGAGTTCATGTACTTGAGACAGAACTCGCATATGTAAAGCACCCGGTTTTTGCTGTACTCTTCAGGATATGGCGCAGCGTGCCAGGTGTCGATCTCCCAGCCACCGAAATTGACGCATTTGATCTTGCTCGCCGTGGTTGCTTGCTTGTGCGACCGGAGTGGTTCGGGCGGGTAAAGTGCGGCCTGCTTCACTTTCCATTCTTCTTCAGCCTTGATGCGAGCATCGTCGAACCGCTTCCGGTCGGCGGGCGAAGGATAAGTCTTCGATGTATCGGCATCCGCTTCTGAAAGTACACCACCGTAGGGCTTGCTCTTGACCTCGTCTGGCTCCCTGTCGGTGAAGCCTGGGAACGGAGCGGCATTTTGAATGTGTATTGTTGGGTAATGCAAGACCTCTGAGGATTCTCGTGCAGCCTGTGCAGCCCGACGGTTTCTTTCGCGACGTTCTCTATCCCTCTCGCGCCGCCTCTCCTGTCGCTCTTGCTCGCGCGTGAGTGTCTTTACTTTGGGCTTGGCGGTGACAATCTTCTGGACTTTCTCGTTGTTGAGATGGAAAGCGATAATCAGGCTTCCAGGCTGGGCCTCTTCGATCCATGCGAGTGGTCGTTTGTCGGTCCTCTTAGGCTGACCACGACGTGCTCGCGCTGGTCGTAAGCGACCTGCCTCTCGATCTGAACCAGTGTGCTCTGCCTCGCCTCCACTCTCGTGACCATCCGTCATGACGCTACGAGCACTTCGTACGCTTCTTGAAGGTGGCCGGGGTGAGACTGCAGGCACTGATGGCGCCGCATCTGAGTTGGATGCTTCGGAAGGTCTCCGCTTCTTCCGTGTTTGCCTTGACGGAATCGGCGCTTCCTCTTCCTGCGAAGTCTTGCGTTTGCGCAGCGAACGTATTCCATCTGCTGATTCGTCGGGAAGAATTAGCTCTTTGAAGATTGAATGTCCTTCGGGGTCAACCCCACGATGTGAAGGGAGCAACTCTTTGGTCAATTTGTTCGCAGACGAACGTCTCCGACGAGCTGAAGGCTCATCTGCCTCTTCTTCTGCTTCCGTTGGGAAGTTGTTGATACATCCTTCGCAGCGCCACAGCTTTGCATCTATTCGTCGTTAGTAAGGTGCGGTTCGGGCCTGACAGGGGAACATACCGTCATCGGGACTAAGCGTATTAGCGTTACGCGCGCATTGCCGATGTGCTGGACCAACAACGTGTGAGCTACCACATCGTAAGTCGAACCTCCCTACCGAGTACTCACCATTGTCTCCGCACTGGGCGCAAGAGAGGTACTCCTCGAATTCCGGGCTGGGGTCGTTATCCTCGTCTAGATTGCAATATCTGCTCAATTAGTAAATGGTTTTGAAGGCTCAATCTTCTGGGGCGATACTTACATGCACACGTTGGGGTTGTTCGACCTGATGATTTCATCCTCTTCACCACCATCGCTCGCCTGCCATTGGTTCTCCTCTTCGGAATCAAGGTTGCTTGACTCGTCGCTGTCGCTGGACTTGGCATCGGAGGATTCTCTCGCGACATCGTCGCCATCATAGTCCTCTTCCTCGTCGTCGGACCTGGGTCGACGCAGTGCGATTTTGACAGCACCGACGGGCTCTGCTTCGTCCTCATCGTCGTCCACCTCTTCACCCTCGGCGTCCACATCTTCACCCTCAGCATCGACATCTTCGCCCTCGGCATCCACGTCTGAACCTTCGGCGTCTGTAGTTTGGCCTTCAGCATCAGGCATGTCCTCGATAGGCGGGCCAGGCGCGTACTCTACATCGTCCATCTCGTATTCGCCATCCGCATCGATGTCGTCCGGGTCGGTGTTGGCCGCGGCTTGGCCCATGATTTCCGCCATTGCGAAGTTGACGGCAGAGGCCACCTTGGAGGCAAGATACGCCACTGTCGCAGTCCAATTGGTATAGGCCTTAGAACATTGGTTGCGCGAGCGGTAGCAGCCGCGGAGGCTCTCTCATGCAGTGGTTGGTGAGCGCGTCGTGTCTGTGTCCTAGCGCGTTGTCGTGACCCGTGAAACTTATAACCGCGTGTTTTCGACTGAGGTGTATCGTGTAATGGGTTTGAGAGGTCGTGAATCGCCAGCGGCAGATGCGGCGGTCTCGTAGTCGCGTTGGGCGTGACTGTGGGGAAGGCGGAGGTGCGATCGCGGCGGAGGCAATTATTTCGGGGGTCTGGCGGCTGAAGGGTGCGGGTTTCGCGCCTCGTATGAAAGGGTGAGTCTGTGCGACACCGAGAATAATTGTCGCTCGGCAGGAAATGGTGTGGACGATGCGCTGTCGTCGTCCGAAATGACACCCTTGGTCGTAGTCGGGGTCGCCGCCAAGGAGCAGTTGACGCACGGCCGCCGCACCTCACTTCACGCCGACGGCACCTCCAGCCAGTCCGCACTGATAGCCCACCCCGCAACACCACCGCGCCTGAACACACTACCGCAATCATGGGTGTCCCATTCGAGGCTCTGCTGCCCTATGCCATTATGACGGGCGTGAGTAATTGGCGCGCCTGGGAGTGAAAGGCTGCTAACCCGGGGGCCAGTTCTTCGCATTCAGCGCCGTGTCTGTCGGAAAGCTCAAGGAGATCCAGAACGGAGGAAAGAAGACCAGGAGGGGTATCGACCAATGGGACAGGGTAGGTTGCGAGAGACATACGCGCACCAGGAGTAAGCTAACAAGTGTACAGCAAAGTACGACAGCTTCACGATGACCTCATGCGACATACTTACGAGACCCAGTGATGGAGCGCGACCGCCGGCTCACGGGATTCATGCGCGGACAGACAGACAAGCCGATTGCTCCGGAAGGCTTCGAGCTCAACAACCCATGGAGGGTGCGTATGGAGGTGCTGGGCTGTTGGAAGATGCTAACCACGGGCAGTGCGAGAAGCGATTCCTCTAGACGATGCGAGATACTCCGACACAGCATACAACATACCCAATAGTAACTACATCGCGCTGGGAGGGTCTACGGCATGTACAGCAATAGTAGGCATGCGAGCAATCAACAATTCTCAATGTTCAGTACTGGTGTCTACTTGATCTCTGATGGCAGTCCGGCAATGCCTTCTCGCTCCACGTCTCGGAACTTCATCCCAAAGTACTTCTCAAGCGCCTCCAACCTCTCTCTCTCACTCTTAAACTCGATTTCTTTGGTTTTCTGACCTTTGATATTCCACTTCAATGAAGCAGCCGTCAGACTCATCTTCCCTTCCAGCTCCCCATCATCACCCAGTATCTTCTTGTCGGCCACTACCATCTGCGTGAAGAAGGTATGCTTGCTGGTGGAAGTGTAGTAGCTCATGACTGCGTAGTCTTGAGGCTGGAATTCCAGCTCACTGTACGAGTATTTGGTTTCCCAGTCGCTCTCGTCATTCCTCCGATATTCGTAAACCCAGAAGCGCTGGTCGGGGTCAGTGTTGCCTGCAATGTTGCGCCGTTGGAGACGGGCCGCTGCAGGCTGGATGTGCTTTTGGACTGTGCCCGAGCGGTCGAGAGGCATTGGGACAACAGGCCCGTCAGCCCCGAAGCCAACATCGACATGGTATTTGGTGTTGCCGATAGTGACAAAGTTCACCATATGCGACCAGCCCGTCCAGCTGTCAGCAGCCCAAACTTTGCAGCCGCCTGAATACAGGGTGAACCCCAGCGAATTCAACAGCGTGCCAAATAGTCTGTTGTTCTCCATGCAATACCCACCGCGTCCATTGTCATCGTCAATGATCTTCTTGAATAATTCCTCCGGATGGACAGAGATGGAATGATGGGCCGAATAATGCAGATTGATGTTCTCAAAGGGCACGGCTGCTAGCTGCAGCTTCTGGAGCAGTGCAAGATACTCCAGTGCGCTGTCGGGGTCCAGACCGGCTACATCGTACTTTCTCTTTTGGTCAGGCAACCCCAGGCGGTCGAAGTACTTTGTTATTTGGTCTCTGGTGTAGGTTGCGCGTGCGCTCATGTTGTTGACTGACACGGACGTTATCGATAGCGGAGTGCAGATCCGAATTTGGCATGCGGCGAACTGAGACGCAATCAGATGGGAGAGGCACTTTCACCACGAGATGCGCCAGCACTAGAGTCACTGCAGAGAAATGTTTCGCGCGGGGCACGCTACGAGACGCCAGCTGTGGTGTCGTCAGGACTGCGCAGCGAATACGGGACGAGAACGCGGGATGGTGGGGAATGTCTGGATGGGCGGTGCCTGCCAAGCGCGCATGAACGCGTGAACTCCCGCCGGCTAGTGGCTCATTCACCCCTTGACGGGCGCAGTCGAGTGCTAGGAGCAGACTGCTAGAGTAGCGTCTCCTGAGCCAACTCTCCAATTGCAACCATGTTGAGCTGCTCGCCGTGAGCGCGCCCACCACCCCCGCTGGCTGCGCGAGTATTACTGTTGGGCGCTCCCGTCGCCTTCTCCATCCGGTCCTTTATCACCCCCCAACGCCCCGAGTCGCCGCGTCGCTCGCTCAGATTCAGAAACATGACCGCCAATGGCCTGCGCACCCAGTACCCCTACGTCGGGGACACGCTCAGTCCCCGCGCCCTCTATGACTTTCCCTCGCCCACGTCCAACTACCCGTCCGGCATCAATGGCACCGCCTCGCCCAGCTTCTTCCCCATGGCCTACCAGATCTCCCCGCGCTTCGGTGCCAGCGCCTTCATACCGCCCCCAGAGGTCTTCGTAGACGGCCGCAGGGAGACCATTCGCGAGAATGGCGTCTACACACCGCGAAACTCTGGCAAGCGAAACTCCGACGCGCTGAATACCGACCCCGTGGCTATGCATCTGCTTGTTGAGACGGCAATTGGAGACAGCCAGTATTTCGACATACTCTCGGTCGAGGAGGTGGAAGCGCTCAAGCAGGAGCAGAAGAGCCTGGACACTCGTCTGGGCACCGTCAGGCGGAAGCTGGAGTCGGAGACGAAGATCCGCGATGCGACGCGCTCCCTCGGACGGCTGGCCTCGAATAAGGCAAACGGACACAAGCGCGGGCAGAGCAGCAAGAGCAGCAAAGGCAGCAATCCCGCGCAGGACTACGACCCCAAGACAGAGGAAGGGCTGGAGTCAAGCAACAAGAAGGTCGAGGAGTTCATTCGGGAGTGCCTCGAGATAGAGTCTCGCATGCGCATGATCGATATGCAACTCCTGATGCACACTGCGGCTGTACTGCAGCTTACGCACAAGGGACCGAAGCAGCGTCAAGACGACTCTGAACTGTCAGAAGACCGCTTCCGCAGACCAGACAGCCCCGCAAGCCTGAACACCTACGAAGACGGCAGACTCAACGGCGCTTTCGACGAGCGCAGCTTCTACAGGACGCCGGAAAATCTCGACAACCTCATGAACGTGCTGCAAACCGGCAAGCATCTCACAGCCTCCACAGAGCGTCACGACCAAGCCTTGAATGCGACTGCCACGCGACTCCAGGAGATCAACGAGCGTCTGAGATCACTCATCATCGAGGCGAACCCCGAGCGTGACGAAGACTATTCACTGCCACCGTTGGCGCTTGAAGGAACGCCCGACGCGTCAACCCTAGATCGCCAGCTCGATTTCCTCGATCAGGGCCTCCGCAGCATCGCCGCCGAACAGTCCAACATCCGCAACAATTCAAGGCATACTCTGAGCGAAGTCGAGGGCCGTCTGGAGGGCATGAACAACCAACTGTATGCGGTAATATCTCGATCCGAAAACGAACAGTCCGACAAGATCCCACCGCCACCCGCCATCACTGGCGGTGGCGCCACCGAACAGCTTAACTACATGGAAGACTCCTTCTACAACCTCGAGCAGATCCAGTACGCAATGAATGAGCAAATCAATGAGCTTCGTTCCAAGGGTCCTGCGGTCGATGAGTCCGAGAGCGCTGAGAAGGCTGAGAAGTACGAGACTACAATCATGGGCCTCTGGCAGACTATCCTCACTGGCGAGGAAGAAGCACGCGAACGCAAACGTGAACGACGCCAGTTGCTTGCCGAAGATCCCGATGCCAATGAACAAGTTTCGCCAGACGAAGACTACGTCAACGAGAGCTACTCTCTTCCTGCCTTCTCTTCAAAGGTGCAATTACTGTTCAGGCGAGCGACTAGTCTCAAAGACAAGCAATCAGTCCTGATGCGCCAGATCAAGCAGCAACGTGAACTGAACAGCAAGTCGGACGCACAGAAAGAGGCAGAATTTGAGCGACTCAACACCAATTTGCTCAGCGCGAGATCTGAGAAGAAGTCTATGGAGGGTGAGCTCGAGCGTGCAATGGAACAGCTACAGCAATTCGATGAGCAAAAGGTCTCGACTGACACACAGATCTTGCGCGAGACGCAGGAGCGGAACGCTGGTCTGGAGGCTCAGCTGATCAACGTACAAGAGCGAGTGATGGCATTTGAGACTGAACTGAACCAGGCCAAGCAACGCGCTGTCGCGTACGAGAATCAGCTCAAGGACGTGCAAGAGCAAGCTGTAAACTTCCAGAGCAAAATGCAAGAGGCCGAAAAGCGTGCGGCCACGTTCGAGGAAGAGCTAAAGGATCACCAGGAGCGCAACACCGCATACAACGTCTCATCACAAGAGGCTGAGCAACGCACTGCTGGCTACGAAGCCCAGGTTCGGGACGCGCAGGAACGGGCTCTCATGCTAGAGACCAAGTTGCGGGATGCTCAGGACGAAGCTCGTACCGAGGCGGCAACGATCCAGGCTCAACTTGCCAACTCTATGGAGAAGATCACAGAGACTACAGCTGCTCTCGAAGCCGTAACTGCCGAGAAGCAAGCTGCCGAGGCTCGCTCTTTGGACGCAACCAACTCCCTCAATGCTAAGGAGGAAGAGTTCCGCAACCTTGAAGGCGAGATCGTCCGTCTCACAACCGAACTCACTTTCGCTAAGGCAGAGCTTGATGGCGCTTACGGTACGCGCGCGCAACGTGCCGCCGACTCCGCCGCCAACCCGGCCATCAAGCGAGAACTCGACGAGCTCACCGAGCAAAACCAGGCGCTCCTTGGCGAACTAGAGGCGCTCCGCAAAGTGCAAGACGTTGCCTCACAATCCGAAGCCGAAGCCCGGCAATCCGAGCGCAACCTCAAAGCCGAGCTGTCCGGCATGGCTGCCGAGTACGAAGCCCTCACTCGTGACGCCATCCAAAACGAAAAGGACCGCGAAGTCCTTGAAGCGCAGATCGACAAGCTGCGCGACGAAAAGGAGGCTCTTGAGCGCGAGCTCAGTGACGAGAAAGTCAAGTGGCTCGGGGTTAGGAGTCCTGGACCTGGCATGCCAAATGGCGCTGCTGCACAGCTCGACATGGGCGCGACTAGTATTCGCATGTTGAGAGAAGACTTTAGGAAGATGATGAGGGACCGGACGGCTGAGGGGTTGAAGGCGCTGAGGGTAAGTCATATTCATGCACGACTGTTTCGCACATCACTAACAATTCACAGGCGGAACAAGAAGAACGACGAAAGCTCGAAGCCGTTGTTCGGCAGCTACGCAAAGACGCCATGCCACAACGTTCTCAACTCTCCCGCACTATGACTACGCCACAATAACGCCGAGTAGCCTGACCGCATCGCCATGTTACGTTTAAACTTCACTTCTCTTTCTTACACTTTGTATTTCTATATACCCACTTTGTACTCTTCTGGATCCGTTATCATTCACGCATTACACGCGGAGTTTGGGACTTGCATTGCAACACATATTGGCGTTGCATCGCTGCTGCTATAGTGGAAAGCATATCTGCATATAAAGTAATGTATACGCTGCGCTTCTCAGTTGAGATGATGTTAGCATAAGATCGCAGACGAACCTGGCCCTTGTCGTTCTGTTGTGATGGGCTGTCCATGGAGTGAGCGGCACAAAAATTGAGGTGGATAGGTGCCGCGTTTATTCATGCAGACCGTTTTCTTTAACGTATA